GGTAATATTCTCCGGGGGGCCTATTCTTGACACTTGGGAATTTAATCCGTGAACGAATATTTCGTATTCCATGGAGATCGATTCGTGAGACACTTCCCTGTACGAATGTTAATGGATTTGTCATTTCGTTAGTCTTGCGATTCTCATCTACGAATGCCATTCGTGTGGGAAAATAAAATCCTCGGACCACAGATTTTCCCTCACGAATTTAAAATTACCAAACGAAAATGATCAACGAATTATTCGTCCATCAGGAAATCCACTTTTTCGCTATTAAATTTTCACTATTGGGAAATTTGATTTATATTATTAAAAAATATTTAAAAAGTGATCATTTCTTCGAATCTCAAGAAAACCTGAAAATTTTAAAAGCCTCTGAGATATTTCTAGAATCACCCGAGATTAGTCTGAGATTATGAGTGTTTCCTCAATGAAAAATAATTCTTCAGAGGAAACTAAAACGAGGCCATAACCAAAAAATTGATTTTTATTAAAGTTAAATAATTCGAGAACAAATCGTAAAGACGGTGGATTAATTTTTTCAAAATTATTATTAACAATTTTCCGAAGATTTGATTTGAACTGGTCGACAAAAATCAGAAAAAAACTGAATGTTACTATTGTCGTCGAATAACAGCAGTCAACCAATCCCAGAAAATCATTAACTTCTTATATCGTACAATCTTCTCGGAATCGATTTGATTCTATCAGGAGCTAGATCTATCACAAATTTAGAGCTTGACCGCATCAGCCCTCTTGAATGAGTTTCAATGGTACGACCAGCCACTAAAATATTTGTCTTACAAACATTTTCAAGACCACCCAAGTTAATTCCTCGGTTGCATTAACTTATTACTATGGCTTCCAACATCAGGCCCATAAAATCACGATCGGTATCGTACATGAAAAACAATTAAATACAAACGGTGATTTTTAAATTACATTATTATCCTCGATTGAATGTTGAGATTCTGTCGACATTTCACACGATTTTCATTAGATAATTCT